CCCCCCAGCACCACCACCAGTACCCCCACCAGGAGAGGGCAGATCAGCTATGTGCAGTGTAAGTCCCTGTTCTTTCTGCCGTACACCGCTGACCTCTGTACTGCTGACTTCTGTGCGTTACATTACTGACCTCTGTACTGCTGACCTCTGTGCGTTACATTACTGACCTCTGTGCGTTACATTACTGACCTCTGTACTGCTGACCTCTGTGCTTTACATTACTGACCTCTGTACTGTGCATTACATTACTGACCTCTGTACATCGCTGACCTCTGCACTGCTGACCTTTGTATTGTGCTTTACATTACTGACCTCTGTACTGCTGATCTCTGTACTTTGCGTCACACCGCTGACCTGGCGGAGTTAAGGCCGGGGCAGGGAAAGGGTTAGGTGGGGCAACTGGTGGCGAGTAACTCATAAGGCCTGGCTAGTAGCTCAGGGCCTGAAAGTTTGAGCCCTGACATAGAGTATATCAATGTATTTACCAGGTCTCGATGTATGAAATTGTTCTGTTCCAGGTAGTTCATTCCATCACACACATCTTGGCACATGCTGAGCAGAATGTCAGCATTGAATTGCCCCTGTCTTTGGCGGAGGTAGTTCAGTAGACAGCCGTATTCCATGAACTCGGTCACTATGTAGATTGGCCTCGATTCGGTACAAACCCCATACAACTGTACTAGTTTGGGATGAGTCAGTTTCCTAAGGAGAAAAATGAAACTGAAAACATTGTAGCCTTCACCATGTTGCTTTTTTTACTGTTAGACAAATTATTACTTTTAAGGCTGACGGGCATTTATTTGCAGCGACCTCCTTTTTATAAAGTGATTTCCTGCTATGAAATTCTACCTATATTCTATGCAATCACTAATTGGCAAATTTTTAAAACTAGCAGCATTAGGTTATTTATTGTTTTGGATGTGTATTAATAAAACAAAATAATGCACTTCATTAGCAGAAGTCTGCCTACTTCTTGAAATGAGAGACACACAACACATTGATTTATCACCATTGTGCGCTGCAACTTTTTGCATGTATGTACATAGTTCCTATATGTGTGTGTGTGTGTGTGTGTGTGTGTGTGTGTGTGTGTGTGTGTGTGTGTGTGTGTGTTTGTGTGTGTAGTATGGGGCGACAA